ATAAATAATATATATATATACATATATATATTATTTATTTAGGTTTTAGATTCTAACAATTTGTCACTTGCTATTGTACTATTATACTAAATTACGCATTAATCACTTTGCCACGTCATATTCTTTTATTACTACATACTGTGAGTAAATATTAATATTATTTTTCCATTAAGTTTTTATAAAAAAAATTATATAGGTTCACCTTGGCCGCTTAACAACGGCGTATCATCGATTACAGAAATAATTCAACCTTATATCGAAGTTTTACCGAAGAAAGCTCCTATATTCATTACGGTAATATAATTAAATTAATAACATTAATGTTAAAGGCTTTTTATTAATTTTAAAATAATTCTAATCAAAAATCATGTTACAAAGAAATGTTGATCATTATTACAGCCACTGAAAGGTATTGCGGTAATAAGCGGACAACCAGCTAGATTCGAATGTATTGTTCAAGCAGAACCACAACCCAATATTCTATGGTCAAAAAATAATAGAATCGTAGAAAATTCTAAGAGTCACGAAATTCAATACAGAAACGGCATTTGTCGTCTTACCATAATGAGAGCTTTACCTGGTACGGTACAAGTGTATATATACAATATTTTATGCTTGTATGTAATCTTTTAATTGTATTAATTTATTTTTGCACATATTTTTACAAAATTATTTACTTAGAATTATTTGAATGAAATTCAAATAATTTTAAGCAAATAAATAATTATATTCAAGTATAAAGAAGAAAATAATAATTCTCTATCAGATAATTATGTATTTTTCTTATGTAGAGGATGCCGGGACTTATGCATGTACGGCAACGAATAGTTTAGGTTCCACCATAACTTCTGCCAACTTGGAAGTTCCAGGTAATAGACGTTCTATATATGCCCCTATTTCGTAAAAAATCTGATGAAGAAAGGAATCAACAATCGAATGGAATAAATACAAAGGTGGTGGAACATTTAATTCTCGGTTTAATTTCGGTTTGCTGATATCGATTTTCATATTGTATATTATTACTTAACCAGGTCACAAACTAATATGGTGAAGGAAATAATGATAAATAATGCTCGATACATATATTCCGATACTTATATTCCTTATGCGAGAAAAAATTCAAATTTTTTAATGAAGATAAGCGAATAATTCGATTTCACTGCTTTTCCTACGTATCTTGCTTTTTATTAGGAATAAACGAAAATTTTTATATTAATATAAATTTTATATTAATATAAATAAATAAATATATATGGTGCTACTAATATAATATGCTAAAATATAATAAGACAAAAATGAATTAGCTTTGTTTCAATGATGCAATTTCATTTTATGGCATTTTATTCAAATATTTGAATTAATATTGTATTTTGGTGAAAGCTAGTCAAATCAAATTAGTCAATAATTAATTAATAAATAATGAAAGAAATAAAAATGCAAAAATTGCCTCATTAAATAGTATATAAAATATTTTAATAATATCATGAACAAGTTAAGAAAAGTTTTTCTTGTTTACTTTATTTGTTTATGTATTACTTGTTTCAAGTATATTGTGACTTGTTATTAAAATATTGTATTATATTTTTAATTTTTCTTTATGTTAATTATTTCTTGTCAAGATCTTTCTTGTTACAGATTAGAATTATAAGATTTGTTGTCAGAATTAATTTTACAAAAAATAATGATTAAAAATAACATTTGACAAAATAGGAAATAAGTGCAACTTATTGTTTTAATACAAAGATTAATATCATTTTAAAATTATTCTATTTATATATATTATGTGCATATATATAATGTTGTTGGAATTATCGCTATCAGATTATTTAAAAATACGATAAGAGAAAGTTATTTATTATTAAATAGTAAATAAATAAAATAAGAGCGTTCCGATCGTTCTAGATGTGATTTTTTATTTTATAATTTTTACAAATTTTTATGTTAATTGTTTTTGCTTAAAGTACAAGAAGTTAATATTTTATATCTAAACGGAGTATGGGATATCTATTACGAGGCATGTACGGGGCTATGCTACAAATCGCTATTTTATTAGCTCCTTGCGTTCACAGAAGAAATAATTTATATTTAGTATGTGTAATTCAAAAAATACAGTCATAAAAAATAGTATTTTTTGAAAAATTTCATGAAACGCATCAACGTTTTATAAATCACGTAAATGATTGTTATTCAATATTTAATAAATGATCAAAGATAATTTAAAAGTACGTATTTTAATATATTTTCTCATCGCAAGGGGTTAACTTTTATTTATTAATCTTGCTCTTCAGGAATTGACAATAATATTTATATATTATGTAAATAAATATATGCTTTCTCTACAATCTAAACTTGGGTAAACGGTTTAATAAATTATTTCACATTCTTGCCTATATCATTTTCCTTTTTTATTCTGCCTCTATAATTGCCTTTTTTTTAGTTTATAAGATATTATAAAGCATCAGCATTAATGAACGGAAATATAAGGTAACATAATTATTTATAAAATAAAGTGTTAGAATGTCATAAATGTGTATAAATGTTATATTACTGTATATCGTTTTTCTGTAAATAACATTAGTTTACAAACAAATGTTTTTTTCAATTATTTTGAAGAAAGAATACAAGCTTTCTATAGATTTTTGGATGACAAAAACAATTAAATTTCACATCAGGTTTCCAAAATAATTGACATTTAATGTACAAAAAATAGATTTTTTGTGACATTTGATATTTTTTCGTAAAAAAGATTAACATTATGAAATTCTGATCTGAAAAGTCATGTATATCCTCTACATACCTAATGTATTTCTTTTATGTCGATATTTTACTATTTAGCTATGTTATAAATAAAGAGATATAAATACAAAGTTTTCTAAGATAGCAAATTTTCCGCGTATGAAGATGAATTAAATCATACTTATAAAGTGCTTATCAATACACAGTGTAATTTATATATTCCGTTAATGTATATGTACATGCATATATATATATAT